GCTCTCGATCCTTTCACTAGTCAAGATTAACTCAGTGAAACCAAATGATGAGCTCCCAATTAACAAGTTGAAAAATGGTCCAATCAATGTTCCCATGAACATATCTATTAATTTTCTGTCAATTAATGGTGGTTACACCCTACCTGCCAGGTCTCTCCATTTTTGTGCATATTCTTTGAAACTTTCATTGGAACCAATGGTCATTCCTTGTAACTGCACTCTAGTTGGCACCAGATCAACATTGTATTGATATTGATGATAGAAGGCAGTGGCCAAGTCTTCCCGGGTATGGATGTTAGAACCCTCTAACTGGTAAAACCACTCCAATTGAGTCCCAGACAAACTCTCTTGAAAGAAGTTCACCCACAACTTCTTATCAGTGGTATGCGGTTGAATCTTACGGACGTAAGATCTCAAGTGAAGATTTGGGAACGAAACACCGTCGTACTTAGCAAAGAGTGGAATCTTGAATTTATGGGGAATAACTACCCCAGACACCAAACCTAAATCACCAAAATCCAAGCCAGGTACATCTTGAATTTCCAGAGCTTTTAATCTATCTTCCAATTGCTTAGACTTTTCCTCAGCGGGTGGATATTGTTCGTCAAAATAGTCCTCATCCTCAGAGTTTGGATTGTTGCCACCCCAAGAACGGGTACTCCTTGTATCTTCTTCTTGGTTCTCATATTCCTCGGATGACTCTTCTACTACTTGCACTTGATGGACGAGGCCCTTGAACCTTTTCCCTATGTTGATCAAATCCTTCTTCTTGGTCTTCTTCTTTGCAACCAGAAGTGACATCAACTCTTGTTTCCCTTTAGCCAAGTTGAGCAAGGTTTCTTAAAATTGAGAATTTTTTGTCTGCAAGTCTTTCACGGTCTGCTCGAGATCCATCTTACTGAAATAAACAGTAGAAAAATGAGGAAACTTGTGTCGTAAAACCTGCTTATATTATGATGCATGTAATGCGAATGCAAATGTTTTCAAGGACCTTTAAGATTTAAATTTGTTTAAACAAAGAAGGAACAAACATTAATTGTATTAATAAGTTCAAATCGTTTACAAAAATGCCTCTTGGGCTTACAATGGAAGAAGCAAAAATAATACAAAATAAACTCCTAAAACAAAAAGGACTCAAGTTTCCCATGAGTGCATCCTCTTTGGTGTAATGTAGGCGTTCAAACTTTGTTCTTCATGAAGTTGTCTCGTGAACTACAAAACCTTCTTCTTGCTTGCATAGAATTGGGCTTTAAAGGTGTCTCGCTCCCATTTTAATTGAATCTACGATCTTTGCAACTCCTCGAGAGTAGTAGGCATGTCAGGATGAAGAATGGTGTAGGGAACATCTCCTTCGGCAATAGGCTCCACAATGATAGGTAAGATAGCAGGATATGGCATCATGAGGCTTTGAGAACGAGCTCACACCCACTTGAGCTAAGGCTCTAATTGAATGGAGTTCTTATGCCCCTTGCTATTAACTTTGTTCACCATTCCCCAAGCTCGTACAAATCTTCGATGATAACCTTGGACATTGTTCTCATAGTCAAATACAATTCCTTGGAAAAGCGCGTCATGAGGGCCATCCCTCCAAGTGTAACTGAACTATCGTAGAGCCAAGCAAGGATTATAAGTGATACCTCCCCTAATTCCAAAGAGAGGGACATTAGGGAATTCTCCACAACGGTCAATAATGACAACATCCTCCAAGGATTGAGAACACCAATGAATATCAGAATGCGAGAGTGACATCAACCTACTAGACCATCTCATGCCTTGCTCATTCTTCCAAGTAGATCGAGGAAGGTGCAAAATAAACCATGTAGCCAACAAAGGAGTGCAACACATAAGAATCCCCCTTCTCTTCATGGTGCGAGTGTGAAGAGAGTGCAAAATGTCTTCAAGTAAGGTAGGCACCGAATTACGAGATAGAAAAACTTTGACCGCATCCACATCTACGAGTTGGTCCGGGTTAGGAAATAGTACCATCCCATAGATTAGAAGAGCCAAAATCTCTTCAAAAGCTTGAAAATCCAGAGCATCCCAAAAAATTTGAGCCTTCTCAAACAGAAGCTTGGCTAGAAACCCCTTAACACCACTTCTTGTTTCCCAATTTGCTACAATGTTAGACTATTGCAAATGTAAAGCTCGAGCAATCTCCTTAGGTCTTGGGTCTTTCTCAATACCGGTGAAGGGTAATTGATCAAGAATAGGCACTCCCAAAAGTTGAGAGAACTCCTCTATGGTAGGAACTAATTGGTAATCAGGGAATGTAAAGCAATGATACTTAGGTTCAAAGAATTGAAAGAGTACATGTACCATGTCCTCTTCAATTTTTGAGGTAACCAAGATGATGAGACGAACATACTTCTTGGTGAATGGAGAATCATTTGAAACCCTTGACGCTAACTCCTTGAGTTGAGGAGGCACTTTCACAAGGTTGATTCAGATAGTATTTCTTCGCATGGAAGCCATGTCCTGCAAAACAGCACAAAGATAAATCCCAAAAGTCCTTGAAATGGTTAGTGCAAAATTCCATGTAATTATGTCATGATGTTATGTACAAGTAAACATGTACAAGTAAAGCAAACAAGTTCTTAGGTTTAGACTTGCATGAGGTTCATAGGTAAGTACCCTCTTGAAGTTTGGTTGGTTCAAACTGTCCTATAAAGAAATTAGGTTAAAGGGAATCTCAATATCATTATTCTTTCTACATCGGGCATTGTTTCAGCGCAAGCCTCTTTATTGGCGACCGAAATATCCCAAAATTCAGATCTCAATGAGTGTAGTATCGAGTATCAACTAACTTCAGACTGCACCAAAGCAGACTATCTCACTACTTCCTAATGGCCAAGTTGTTCAACAAAAGGTTCTAAGGTCAGTTAGTGCTTCATGACACCACACTGCGGTCCCGTATTCTCCTAAATTCGCCATAAGGGATATCGGTACCCACAAATGTGTCACACTAACATAGCTATTGTCTCAACCATATCGGTCTACACCGTACAATCTCCACATTTTTTGCTATTTACCTAATGATGTTCCCAGATTCGGGCAGAGGATCAATACAAACCCAAACAAGGACCCATACATGTAAAGCAAACAAATCAAACAAAGAAAGTATTTAAAGGTGATCTAGCTCTAAGGTAACCCCACTTTTTAGCATGTCCCCAGCAGAGTCGCCAATTGTGTAATACGGTGGGAGAGCTGACTTGGGTGTTTTGTGTTTGATCGCAATTGTTGCGGATAGCAAGAGCCTCCGCCGATTTTTCTTTTATCCAATAAAGGAAAGGGTGAAAATAACAGGAAATACCTTTTGAAATTTTTCTCAAGTTCAGGGGGTAGGTCATGAAAAGGGAATGTGTTAGCACCCATTTCATTTGTAGTTATCTACGGGCTCTTAGTTTGTAGCTTACTTTGAAATGCTTTGTTTGAAATGTGTTTGTGATAGTTTGAAAGTATTTTAGAAAAAGTGTCATCGTCTAGGCGAACTTTGTAATGATTCTCGTCTCTATAAAAATGCATACAAAGTGTTGACTTTTTAAAATATTTCATTTGAAAGTGTTGGTAAGATGTTTTTGAAAATGGTTGTGAGAAAGCAACTATGAATGTTCTACCTACTCAAAAAGTCTTAGTTCTTTTCCTCCACCTTTAGATATTGCAATCTTATCATTGATTGGTGAGAAGCCCAATCATTGGATGTAAAGGGACGAGCGTGGGTCATCGTATAGTCATATAAGGCAACATTGTATGATACTTTAGCAATATTTCATAAGGGACTAAGATCGTTTATCAAAGGCAACATCGAAGGGTCATCGAGGGACTATGATCTTGTAATTGAGGAGGCTTTGCTAAAGTACCCCATGTTCGAGGGACATGACCGTTTACATCCAAGGCAACAAGTGTGTGTTACCCTAGAGATGCGTGTGTGAATCGTGTTTTGATTGCATGCATTTTTGTCTTGAGATTAGGGTTCTCTAAGATTGATTTTAGTTTTCCATACACACCCTAATTACTAACAATTATATTAAAAGCGATAAATTGCGGAAATTAAAGTCCTACAATATTACATAACTTAGGGGATGGAGATACAAATTATAAATGGGGATGAAAGCAATTAAAACCTAATTACTATTACAACCAAATCGAATAAAAATAATAGCAAAAAGTCTCAAAATCAGGATTTTAGGTATCTTTTAAAAACAACAAAACAATCCGGTAACTCTAATCCATAATTAAATTACATGCCAAGGCATAATCACAAATTATGGACAGACCTATATACATGCTGGCATTCACCACAAATCAGAATTTGGAAATCCAAATTTAACATCCAGTCTTGAGTGCTAGCATGCAAGTACTTATCCACAAATGGCAAGCAAAGCGGCATTATGTAAATGACAAAGACAACAAAACAAACAGAGAAGTACATGAGCTTAAAGAATTACAACACATCTACAAATTGCAAAACTATCTCCACTACAAGCTTGTGTCAAAACAGAGGAAAATTGGAGTTATACCATAACTTGTAGAAAGTAAAAACTTATGCATGATTAGTAGTATTGATTTCAATTCATGAGGTTATGTTATCGACACTTTTCAAACAAGCGGTAAGAAATTCAGAATTAAGCATACTCTCATAACCTCATGAACAACTAACCAACGCCTTGTTTCTTATCATTTTGATATCAAAATTGATAACAAAATCAAGAATTAGTACCTAAAACTAAACTAAGTGTTAGTATGCACTAAATTCCTAAACCAATTGTAGAATTAACCTAAGCTAACAAAAATCTGAAAATTATACCTAATTATATTCCATTCTAAAAATCTGAAAATTCAAGAGACAAAACAAACTCTCTAATTCAATTCTTGAATTCCTAACTATTGCAAAATCTGAAAAAATCAACCTATATCCTAGTTACAACAACAACTCCAAATTCAATATTCAACAGAAAACCAAAGGAAATTATAACAATACCTCTTGAAGATGATTGAAGTATATGAAGAGGAAGAGTCGAGGTTTACCGAAGCTGAGTGTACCGGCTGGGAGGAAGCAAGACGCGGCGGAAGGAGGTTGCAGACGTAGGGAAGTTGCAGATGGAGGGAGCTGTGAACAGAGAGAGATTGCAGACGGAGGGAGCTGCGGACAGAGAGAGATTGCAGACGGAGGGAGCTATGGAGTTGAGAGAGGAAGAATAGTCAGGCAGTGGTGAGAAAATGGAAGTCCGGCGGTGAGGGAGGAGGGTGGCCGGAGTTGGCTAAGATGAGAAATCCGACGGTGGTGAGAAGACCATTCGGGAGGGAGAACTTCTTTCCATTTTTGTTATGTTTTCAACTTATTCACCTCTTAAGTGAAATTACACAAAACTTTCCGAACGCGGACCTCCTTTGACAATATGAGCCCCTGAGTTACGGAAGCAACCCAAAAAGAAAAGAGGTTTTTTGACAAAAATTGAATGAGTTCGATACATTTAAGCGGCGAGACGTCACTGTCAACAATTAATTACGTCAAAATATCAGCTTATTTGACCTCTGCTACTTGGAAACGTCACAAGGTCGTGTCTCAGAAATCAGAACACTGATTCGGCTTTTCCAGGAAAAATATGCGTCTCTGAGTGCTCGACGTCGTGTCAAAAAATGAGAGCCGTCTGATAAACGGTTGAACTTTTTATGAATTTTACAGTACAATGCCGTTAAGCCTGTTTTGCTGGTACGAACAACTCCGTTTTGTGAAATAATCCAACAACGCAGGTCTTCGGGCTACCGTTTGGCTTGGAAACATGAAACAAAATTGTAAGAGACCAAATTAGCAAGCCAATGCTTCAAGAACGGGCGCAATTCGGTAAAATTTGACTGAGTTATGAATTTTTGAATATTGGAAACCGAACAGACAGATACCAAATAATTCCTTAATAATTCAAAGTTTACGCAACCTTCCTCGAATAGCCAGCTCACGCCCCTGGACGTCCATCAAGAGTATATCAAGGAGGAATTTCGGGCATCAAAACCACGCTCATACAATACTCGAACCAGGATATATGAATTTTTAATGCGCACAAAAACACAGTTCAACCAACTGTTTATCAGTATTTTCCACTGTTCAGCTTTGTCTGACTTGCGAATTTTGGGACCTTCCTTCGAGAATTGGCTTTAAGCCCAAACACGGAAATTGGAGAGGATATTAAGGCGATTTTAATGATGGAAAAAACACCTTGAGATGGTATACGAGATCGGAGTTAGAAACTTCTGAATTCCTGAAACACCTTTGATCGGTAACCTGAAAACTCAGTAATAAAATTATTTGACCACCTTCTGCACCTAATTGGCTCCCGGCCCGAATACGAAAAGTGAAGATAATATCAACACGAACTTGGTGATCGAATTTCAGCCAAAAATAGTACTCTGGCTCGCAGTTAGCAAATTATGAAGTTGACGCACCGAAACCGATTTTTTTTACCAGAATTGTTCTGAATCAGATCAAACCCTCTAGTTCCCTTATATTGCCCAAGACATGAAAAAATACACGGGAATAGAACATGGTGATAACCCGTTCCTCAGCTGATTGAATTGCCTGCACAAAGCCTTTGATGTTTCTGATAAACAGTTGATGCTTTACTAGCATACCTTGATCCTATAGCAACATAACCAATGTATTCATCTGTATGCAGATGAAATGTAAGCCAAATAAAAATTCTGAAATCAAGAGGGTAAATTTTTGGGTGCAACAACTGCCCCTATTCAATTATTTTTAACATGATAAGTGATAAAAGTGACAACTTTCGAGCGTTCAGAGTTAAAGATGATTGAATACAAAAGAACCCGAAAATTTACACTCTTGAAAAAGAAGAAGAACCCCCCAAAGACAAAGAATGATAGAAAACGCGAGATTAAGAAGATACCAAATGAAATTGGATTTAGAAAACAGAGTGTTTAATGAAAATTGGACTTCCCAAGACATGCGTCAGAATGAAGTTGTAACACTGGTTTTTAACAAAATTGAAACAGAACTTAAACTTAGAAGAGTAGACAAAACTAAACTTCAGGATAAATGTGTCAGGATAAAACTGGACCACAAAAGCGGTGAGATAAGACTCAAACCATAAAGAATAGGCGAAACTAAACTCTAGAAAAGTATGCGGGGCAGAGTGGCTAGAGCGCATGATTCTAGGAGAACCTGCTAATCTCAACCTAAGATAGACAGTATGAAGGAACTGAAAGAATCCCAGGAGTGAGGAACAAAACGAGATGAAACTCGACTCATTATAACTATTTAGACAAAACTAAACTAGATGAGTACCAGGGTGAAACTGGATTTCACGCACGGGTGACGAGGTAAAACTCGACCCATAGCAAAAGTGATGAGAGTGCGTGTTTCTCAGAGCACCCGCTGGTCTCAGATCAATGGATAAACAATAACGAAAACTGATAGAATAATCCAAGGAACAAAAGAGACTGATTTCAACCAGGGACGCAGTTACGAACACTGCAAAGAGACTCGGTAAACGAAAACTGATAAAGGACTCAGTAAAGAAACATTGATGGATGTCCAAGGTATGAAAACAAAAACGAGACGAAACTCGACTCATTATAACTAGTTAGACAAAACTAAACTAGATGAGTACCAGGACGAAACTGGATTTCATGCACATGTGACGAGATCAAAACTCGACCAAAAGCAAAATGATGAGAGCACATGTTTCTCAGAGCATTTGTTGGTCTCAGATCAATGGATAAACAGTAACTAAAACTGATAGAAGAATCCAAGGAATAAGAGAGACTGATTTCAACCAGGGATACAGTTACGAACACTATAAAGAGACTCGGTAAACAAAAATTGATAAAGGGGGTCAGTAATCAAACACTGATGGAAGTCCAAGGTATGAAAACAAAATGAGATGACACTCGACTCATTATAACTAGTCAGACGAAACTAAACTAGATGAGTACCGGGATGAAACTGGATTTCATGCGCGGGTGAGGAGACGGAACTCAAAGCTCGACCCAAAGCAAGGTGATTAGGGCGTACAACTAAAAACCCGATGAAAATGAATATCAGGACGAAACTGGTATTCGAAAGGTAAATCAATAGACATTGGAACAAACCGACGAGGGTGGCAAAGACTAAACCTGAGAAAACTGCGCCACGGTAAAACAAGACTACAATCAAGAGTAGACACTCAACCATTCAAATGATTAACATCAAAAGGATATTTGTATGAGGGTGAAACTGAGATAATGAGGATGAAGACCTCATTAGGGATATAATACTAAGTATTAGCAAATTCATTGGGGCAAAACAAAAACAGAAATGTCTTATGTTCCGATGCATGTTTGAATTTTTTTATATATAGCGTAATGCTTTATATAATGAAAATGCTACGCGTTTTGGTAGATGCAATGTAATGATGCATGTTTAGATGTTTCACTGGGGAATGGCCAATAAAGAAGCCAACAACCAATAGGTCAAAACCTGATAGGACTCCCAAAAATAAATTGCAAAATCTGGTGGAGAAGAGAAAATATGAGGAACCGCTGGAAAGAAAGCCTTGAAGAGCTGAAACTCTGTCGGGAGTAACAAATGAGCAACTGATAGAAAAAGGATACAAACACTGAGAGGAGTTGCAAAAATAAATTGCGAACTCTGCTAGAGAAGATCAGATCAAAACTGTAACTTCTAAAGGAGAATGCCAAATAGAAATCGGCTGGTGTTGGAGAAGATCAGGGAAAGACTGTAATCTCTGAAAAAGATGGCGTGCAACCGCATTGAGGATGACACCAAGATAATAAATCATATGTGAGAAGCAAAACCCTCGTTGGGGAAACTTCTGTCGGAAAATCTTTTTACCGATTGCCGAAGATTAACAAAATCTCAATTAATCGACCAGTAACGACTACACTAGGGATAAGGAAAATCCTTAAATAAGGATGCCCCAAGCAAAAAATTAGCTGGGAAATGAGAGATCTGGACGAGGAATCTCTAATTGGAAACTCCGCTAGGGAATTGAGACTTCTTCAGACTTTGAATTCCCATATAAGCAACTACGCTGGGGACATGAGACGTCTTCAAACATGACGTCTTAGATCGAAACTTTTCTCTTGATAAGATTTCTCGAACAACAAAACTTTGTCAAAGAAATAGAATTCTCCTGAGGAAACAAAATTCTGTCGAGAAGTGCTTTGCTGAGGATTCTCGAACCTTTGGTATGCAACCATGAAATAGACTATGAAGATAGTCAAACAGTATCAACTTTACTGGGGATATGGAAATCTGAGCCAACATCAATCCTTCCGGGGATGAAAAAAAGATTCTTTTGATATTTAATGCCCCAAGTCACAACTCAGATGGAAAAAACGAGAATTTTTTAATGCAATCTTCAATGATAATTCAAATCAAAAGATAAACTCCGCTGGGAATAGTCTCTGTTAAGGAACGAGATAATGCTCATCCAGACTTAGTTGGGGAATGAAGGTATCCAAAAAACCTTATCCGCCTCGAGAATCCCTCACATGACAATGCTGAGGAGAAGCAACCCTGCGGGGAATTCCTTATTCCAACATTCAACAGTTAGAGGTAAGACTCTCACATTGGTGCTGACAAGATGCAACTTACAGAGCGAACTACAATTCCTCGAGAGGACTTCATGGGGTTCGTACTATCATTGACATGCTGCCCCAGAGCAACAGAACTTTGAGAAATTGATCCTCCACTTAACTGCCCCAGATTGGTGAAACGAAAAGACCAATAACCACAGGCCACACCCTGATAAGACTTGCAAAAATAAATTGCAAATTCTGCTAGAGAATATTAGATCAAAACTGTAATATCTGCGAGGAAACACCAAATGAATAATTGACATTGCTGGAGAGAACACAAACAAAGTGGAGCCTGCGGGAAATCAAAATCCACCTGACTTTTTGTTTGATAACTTGTCAATTTCTCACTGGATATAACTTCCTGGGAAGAATACTGCAAAAAATAAATTGCAGTGCAGAAGAAATCTTGAACTATGTTCCACCTCTTAACCTTCTGGGAAACGATCCAATATCTCCTTCCACAGATGAAGAGAACCTTGCTGGAAACTCAGATTTCCTAATATAAGTCCTCAATGAAAGAGATTTCAACTGGGGAAACGTGAAAATTCTTAAACAAAAGAATTCTAACCAGACCACACTGGAGATACTACCGCTGGGGAGTAACAATCTTTCCTTTGGG